CCCTGAATCCTATGTAGCTCAGGCTCGTGTAGTGCTTAGCCCTGCTTAAACACGGTAGAAGTCGGGTGATTTCCTGTAACCTGCGAGATATAGGAAGATACATATGGCACGGTTGGCTATATTTGCTATCGTGGAAAAGAACCAGTCTTAATTTGAAATGAAGACTGGGCGGAGGCTTGCCGGTTTGTAGTGACTCCGTCTGTGTCGATTAAGGACTGAATCTTGGAGCCTTTCTTGTTCATGTTGAACGCATGCCTCTCTCTTAGTTGGCCGTGTCCGATGACCGACCGCGAAGCCGTGTAGCTCACCTCAGGCCAGGAGTCGATAAGTATAAAGTGCGCCTCGGAAGGGAGCCGTAGACGTGAGTCCAAGGGCAGGTGATTTAAAAGTCCTGATCATCCTGGCAGAAGGGTAATCCCTAAGAGTGCTGGCGCTGATCGAACCCGCGAATTTGGTTCCTGAGTTGTTCCAAAGGTGACCCACGGCTACCCTTGCTAAGTATGCCAGGGTGAGAGTTAGGAATACCCCCTCAGCTGAGTTGTAATTCGATTCGAGTCGCCGTCTCTCCCGGTTAGTGAGAACTTGACGGACTTATCTCCAATGTAGATACACTAAATAACATAATGGTTTAGAATTGATGATACGATGATGACAACCTTATTATACCTGCTATGGTTAATATTGTTTGCTCCTAATATGTGAGTACTCTAGTACAGGTGCTAATCTAGTGGACAGGTAAATGATGATAAGCTTGATGCTAAGTTTAACTTGGTTACTATAATCATAAGCTCTTTTATGCAACTGTGTCAAGCTAGCCCACCTCATAAGCCTTGTATGATCCTTGGTGTGTTTTATTTCTGGTTTTTGACGGGTAAGTCTAGCTGAGTACCTTCTCGTACTCAGGGTTTATCTCCCACCTATTGCAGATGACCAGTTCTACTTTGGTTGCTGCAAGTATTGCCTTCTCCCAGCTGGGGATGAAGACTAGACCATTGGGCGCGGTCTCTACTAGTTCTCGTACCTGATAATGCTTTTGTGGGACATGACTAAAATTTGGCAATGTATTTGAAACTATGAAGTTATGTACTAAACTATGTTGCTTCCGCAAATTTGAACCTGGTTTGTAATATTTTATTCGCACTCTGATGGATGTAATCCGAATGCTACTTATGAAATGTTGTAACGGATGATGTGTTGTGTTGAATCACTACGGTCTTGGTTTGTATGTCGAGAGTTGGTTGAAATCCTTTGTGATTTCCGGACTACCGGAATTATGGGAGCTTAAGTACAAGAATTTGATCGCTTCGGTGATTGTTTTTGTACTTACGTTCTTATGATTTGGTCGGTTCTGTTACACTCTACAATAGCTTGTAGTTGCTCTTAACTGACACATTCGTTGAAACCCTTAGGATTGTTATCTCCAGTATGTTCACCTCCTGCCATTGAAAACATAAAAACAGGAACAAACGGTGAAAGTTATCTCTACCAAATGACTACGTGGTTGCAGTGGTGTCACTTTTCACAGCAAGTGGAAGCATCTTACCAAGCTCTTACAAAGTTCTTACCAACACAAGCAGTGGGCGGTACAACCGGCGGCTGGTTCGTGATACCTATGAGACAGTGGTACCGAGATTGCAAGGCCCTTTGTCTGTACTGATCTGAAGAGTTTGTGGAGCTTGGAAGGCACACAAAGAGTAATATGTATATCTGGCACACAAGTCAGTAACAGAAAGTAATGCTGAATTATAGTCCAAAGTACTTGTTCTCGTTGCTGGTCTAAAATGTTCCAAGTACCAGATGTGTGACAAAAGTATGGTGGATAGCAAGGTGACAGGTGTATGAAAAACAAGTATGGTGGATGGAAACAGCAACACAAACAAGGAAACAGACAACACACGCTAACACAGCTCACTTTGGTCTTCTCTATGTGCTCCTCTAAATATTGTTCCTCTTTTGCCTCTCTTTTTTTCTATTTTTTGGGTTGTCGTTGTTTTTTTAGGAATTTTGAATTTTTATTTTATTTTTTTGATATTTTTCCTTTACTTAGGAGCACAAAAGAAGTAACCACAGAAAATATGAGCTTAAACAAGTAAAGACGTGGCATGTGGAATTTTCAGAAAACTTGATCAAAATCGATAAAAACCTTGTGACCACGAAAAGAGGATCTTGTGACCACTTTTTGATCAATTTAAAATTTTTGAACCCCGACAACGTGGGGGATGGACGGATCCAAAAAAAATTTCTGATCAATTTTGATATATAGAACGTCGAAATCGAAGTTCGTATGCGAAAACTAGACCAGTTTTAAGACTTGGCTCCGAATTAGATGACAAAACAGGAACAATGTGCGCAAAATTGGTCACAACATCAAAGATTTGATGAAAACGATGGGGAAAAACACACGAACTGGACTCTAACACGACCTAACCAGCAACAAGACCTCGACTTGGACACAAACTCAACACGACGGACTCTGAAACTGAAATATGCAAAGGCTATGGCGCGGAAGGTTTTAGGACAAGAAAAATGAATATGGTATTGGACTATGGGACGAATGCGAAACACTCAAACTAGGGAATAAAAGTGAATCTGATGGTATACCTTAGCTCTGATTACCACATAATGGGGACGGGGATCCCGATCTTTCGTCAGGTAGAGGTAACTATCGTTGTGGCAGAGAATGACACACCGATCCGGCTTCAGATCAAAAGATCGAACCCTACAATCTTATCACCACAGCTCCTCTGGTTATCAACCAAGTCACGGGCCAGGTTGACCTCGCCAAGAAGGCTAATCCCTGGCTGTGCAATGAAGAACACAAGCAAGAACAAGAAAGAACGCAACCAAATTGCAGATGAATGATTATCTCACGAAGTTAGGGTCTCACAAATCGATGAACGGCGAAACTGTTCTTGACAGAATAATCTAAGCAAAACCTGAACCCTAATGGAGGAGCGACGGCTGTTTATGAAAACTCTAGGGTCGTGCAAGACCCCTGGACGCGCCCCTAATGGGCCCAAATACGATACATGGTCCATCGGACCAAAAGACAGTGTCGCAGCACCCTGACAGATTCTGGACGCTGTCTTGTGACCACTATTCCCGTTGATTCCGAACAGATTTTGATGTGAGACCACTTGGATTGGCTTCCTTATCAAATTAGCTTTCCATCCATATGTGGATCGTCGAAAACGGAGTCCGGATGCATCCTGGGTGACCAGTTTAAGGCAGACTGGTCCTGGAGGCCGAGGCAGACTCGAATTCATGTTGGACTGGGCCTCCGGTTTGTGTTGGACGTCCTTGCTGGTCATCATCACCTCCACCACTTCCTCTAAGTCCTTCATGACCCTCTTCAATGTTTCTAATCAAGATAACACCATTATGTAGTAGTCTATTCTCAAAAGTATGAAAAGGATCGCTTAAGAACGAGCTCACCTCTAAATTGAGTTGTCGCATTCGAGCCCGTGTCATTGGACCTTGCATGACGGTTGGAGGATCAGCGGGTGCCTCTAAAGAAGTGATGTCCTCATCAGCCACCAAGTGTACACCACCATGTGTATGGGTGTTAGCTTTTCACAAACATTTTCCAAAAGATTAGCCACTCAACTTGCCACGCCACTCGATCCTAGTGAAGATGAAAAGTTAGATCACTCGAGTGGCACTAGATGACCGATATGCAAATAAGTTTGCTCCTCTTGATAGTACGACCATCTATCCTAAACCCGATCATCAACTTCTCTACACACCTATGACCGGTGAAATGAAATGTCCTAGGTTATACCTTTGCCTTGGACATTCCATTCCATCTCCTCCAGTGTCGATGCAACACATGCACCAACACGATCAACAATGATATGATCCACTTCATATCATCACGTGATCATATTGGTTCATCGATCTTGACTTCACTTGCTTTTCACCGTTGCCTTCGTCCATCGGCACCAAGTCTTCCTCAAGCTTCACCGCCACGCGGTCCATCGCTCCAAAGCCTTCGACTTGCCCTTCACTCTTGCAACCGGTCCATCAAGCCAAGTCTCATCTTGATCTTCTCCATCTTGATCACATGACTTAATGTCATGTCTCATGTGCAATGAGCTCCTTCATCATCACATGTGTGAGCTTTGCAACATCTCCGAGCAATTTCCACCTTCATGGCATATGTTGCTCACACACATGTACCTATAGACTAATCACCTGTGTATCTCATATAAGTACAATTAGTCCACCTAAGTTGTTACTCAATTACCAAAACCACACAGGGGTACTTTCAATAGGGTCCACACAACGAGGAGGTGGGCTTCCCTCTTGTCTTCGACGCCGGGAGAGAAGACAGAGGAGAGGGGTTAAGCGGATCGATCGATGAAGAATGAGGTCGTCCTTGGAATAGTATGGTGGCTATTTTAGCGTGGGGGAAGAATTGGTTTGTTTGCTTCATGGCCATAGCTTGCCAAGCTGTAAGTTAGACTTGCCACGGTTTCTAAGACATATGTTTGGTTTATTATCGTGACTATGGTATATCACACTTTTTAGCTCAATTCTTGCTAAACTCCACAAGTGTTTTTTTTTATTTTGGTCATCATACTTTTCGTGAAACTATAAGTTGGCTAAGATCAGACGTGTCAAATTTAGGCCCAAACCAAACAATCTTCGGGCAAACTTCCACTTGCCGAGTCAAACTTTTGCGGAGCGCTGGACAGGCCCGCTAGAAACAAGAGCCAGGCTAGGCGGGTCCATTAGCCCGACTCAAAGTGCAGTCCAACCAACCAATCGTGTAGCTCCTGCATCCGACGAACCAAAGGTCTTAGCTCCTGCATCCGACGAGCCTGGTCTGGTGCCGTAGACCAATCACGCCCGCGCCGCACCGCTCTCCTCCTATCCCTACGCCGTCACGCAGTCAGGACAGGAGATCCCCAATTCCCCCATTTCCCCAATCCCCAGTAGAGTAGTAGGGGAAAAACAAGAGAGAAGAAACAGCAGCAGCCTAGCGGATGCAAGGCGAAATGGTGGTTGCCGTCGCGTCGCCTTCGTCAGCGGCACCGGCACCCTCCGCCGGCCGTCTCCATCCGACATACAAGGAGGTAAGCTTCCTTTTTCCCTGTTCCATCGTCGCCGCTCCCCGTTTCCCTCCTCGGTTCGTTGGAGTGAACTTGCTGCTGCATCTCGACCCGATGGTTTGGATCGGATGCGCGCGCAGATGATCATGCAGGCGCTGACGGAGCTGCGGGACCCGGGCGGGTCGAGCCGCAGCGCCATCGCCAACTACATCGCCGACCACTTCTCCGGCCTCCACTCTCGCCACGACGCCCTCCTCTCCGTCCATCTCCGCAGCCTCAGGTCCCATGGCCAGCTTCGCCTCGTCTCTGGCAACTACTTCGTCTCCACCGCCACTCAGCAGCCTGCTCCGGGGCAGAAGCGTGGTCGGGGGCGGCCTCGCAAGAACCCAGATTTAGCCCCTTCCGCTTTGATTCCGGCGTTTCAGGGCCCCAAGCGAGGGCGTGGACGCCCGCGCAAGAACGCCCTAGACCCGGTGGCTTCTTCTCCTTCGCCGCTGCAGGGAGCAAGTGCTCCGCTGCCTCCATCTGGGGTCAAGAGGGGGCGTGGACGCCCGCGGAAGGACGCCCTTGTCCCTGTGCGTTCCTCCTTTTCACAGCTGCTGAAAGCTATTGCTCCACCACCTCCTTCTGGGGTCAAGCGGGGGCGCGGACGCCCGCGCAAGAATGCCTACCCCGCTGTGGCGCCGTTGGTGGGAGTTGAGCAGGGACCTTCTGGTGGACAACCACAGAGGAATACGGTTCCTCTCTCACCGCCACCTGCTACCATGCCCCACAGTGGTGAGAGTAAGCCTGTCCGGCCGCTCAGGGTTGCTGTTGATGTTAATGCTTTGCGTGGTTCCTCCATGAACATATCTGCCTGTAGTAACAGTGTGGTTGGTGGGAAAGAGAAGATGCAACCTGAATCTGTGCAGTCCGCGGATGCTTCATTGACTAAGCGAGGGCGTGGGAGGCCCAGAAAGGAGAAGGCATTGGAAACTAGCCACTTGAAAGCCGCACAAATGACTGAGGGTCAACATGAAGCTCTGGCCGCACAAGCTGCAGACCAAGCTGGGTCTGTCCAAAATGAAGTTGAAGCCAAGGATCTGCAATCCTCGGGTACTTCTTTGACAGAGAAGAAGATGACTGAGGGTCAACAGGAAGCTCTGACTGCACAAGCTGCAGACCAAGCTGGGGCTGTGCAAAATGAAGTTGAAGCTAGGGATTTGCAATCCTTGGGTACATCTTTGACAGAGAAGAGAGGCCGCGGGCGTCCTAGAAAGAGGCCGTTGGAAACCAAAACTTCAGAAGCAGGGGTTGCTGCATCAGCAGTGAAGAGAAGCCGTGGGAGGCCAAGAAAGGAGAAGACTTTAGAAACTGGGAACTTGAAAGTTGCACAGATGACTGAGGGTCGACATGAAGCTCTGCCTGCACAAGCTGTAGACCAAACTGGGCCTATGGAAAATGAAGTTGAAGCTAGGATTTTGCAATCCTTGGGTACTTCTTTGACAGAGAAGATGACTGAGGGTCAACAGGAAGCTCTGACTGCACAAGCTGCAGACCAAGCTGGGGCTGTGCAAAATGAAGTTGAAGCTTGGGATTTGCAATCCTTGGGTACTTCTTTTACAGAGAGGAGAGGCCGCGGGCGTCCTAGAAAGAGGCCGCTGGAAACCGAAACTGCAGAAGCAGGGGTTCCTGCATCCACAGTGAAGAGAGGCCGTGGGAGGCCAAGAAAGGAGAAGACATTGGAAACTGGGGACTTGAAAGTTGCACAGATGACTGAGGGTCAACATGAAGCTCTGCCTGCACAAGCTGTAGACCAAGGGGCCTATGCAAAATGAAGTTGAAGCTAGGATTTTGCAATCCTTTGGTACTCCTTTGATGGAGAAGAGAGGTCGTGGGCGACCTAGAAAGAAGCCATTGGAAACTGAAACTGCAGAAACCCAAGGTGATGCATTGGTGAAGAAGCGGCAGGCGTGGCAGGCCAAGAAAGGCCAGGCCTTTTGAAACTGGGTCTCATGGAAACTGCAGTTGAGGTGTCTAGGGACTTGACAGAAGATGGGCCTGAAAAAGATGGGGATCTTGTGTCAGGGAAGAAAGCAGAAGCTCAAGGTGTACTTTTGGTTGAGGGGATAGACAATTGCCCTGCAGATGCTGGATGTTTGGTAGTGTCAAGAGAGGAGGTACCAATTGCTCCGATGGATGCTGGAGGTGTGCTATTATCTGGAGAGGAGGCATCCATTGCTCCCATGGATGCTGGGCGTGCAACGACAAGGGTTGATCCGATGGATGTGGGCACCAAGAGTCATTAGTGCTCTGATGGTGGCAGCAACAACAAAAAAGAAAGAAAGAAAGAAAGAAAGAAAGAAAGAATTTACCTGAAAGGCTATGCAGAACATGCAGCTGTATAAGTGTGTTCAAGGATATACTTAATAGACATACTGCAAATATTGCTATATGTTTGCACCAAGTTGATTACTCGTATGTTTTTGAGTAGTTCCATTGGAACCTGCATTTGATGGGTTTCACTTTTGGGGTTGGATTTAAATATTTGTTGCTTGTACTGAAAACTAGCCATGATAAGGTTCATTTTCCAGTTTCAACATCTTTTAGTGATATGTTCACATAATATCTCTGTTTTGTGCTTTATTTGATGTGTCAATTGGGTGTTTGGTTGGCAAAATGGGATGTGTTGGTCCACCATTGCTTCATTAAGTCATTCGTCATACTCATAAGCATAGAATACTTAGTATAAAAACAAGGATTTGTGTCATCTGAGTAAAATTTATAGAATGATACTTTGATGTACCAATCCATTGAGGTTTCTCATACCAACAAGTCAACAGCCCCCATATATTTCAATAGGCTACCTTTCAGGACATCTAGCATGTCATATTCAATTTGCATGCTGATTTGATTACAATTATAGAGTAGCATATTATATTGTTGCATTGCAGTGTTAATGTGTACCCGCGTAAAGTTGAGCAAGCATGTTAACAGTTATGACTTAAACCACTGGTACTGGGTGTTCTGGCAATCAATGATGAAGCATTCTGACATGGATGTTGGTTCTGTTCAAGTAAATATTTCTTATATCTTCAGCAGCAATCTATTTTGCGATGTTTCTCAGTAATAATCACTTGCAGAGTAATAATCCCACTATTTTTTTTGTTCTCTTTGCTTATAAGATGAAAAAAAAAATGTTATTCCCCAGTTTCTCGTACCTACTGCAGGTGAACCAAATATCTTTCAGGTAATCCACTGCATGGGACTGGAAACTTGAGTGTAAGCATGTAATTAAATGACAATTGATGAAATGTCTTTGGGTGTGATCTGATCTTTTGCAAAATTGAATGTCATGAGTTGAGGCATGTGGAGTGTCAATCATGATAGAATGACCTTACTACTGAATGTAAAGTAACCCAATGCTACAAGTTTTGAACAGCAGCACCATCTATTCTCTTGCTCTAAAGTCACAACCAGTGTTAAAGTTGCGGTTGTAACCACATCAACCGAGCTGTGGTGACACATAAAAGAGGAGCTTGTACACAACAGAGAGGGACTATCATACACTTTGTTTGGATTGGAAATGTTGGTTATATTCATCGTAGTGCTACATTTGATCGTTAATTTGATGCTGCACTTGGTGTTCCTTTTGTTTTGATATCACAATATATGGTCAAGTTTGACCATGATATGTTTGAAACTAGTAAGATTAGCTTATACCTATGTTATCATAATACATGATTTTTTTTTGTTTTTCAAATAATAAGAACAAGATGTCATTTTAAGAAGAATGATAAAATAGTGATAAATAAAAATTCGTAAATTGTTTTTGTGATAGGTAACTTGCATTAATTTTAATGGCAGCTTAAATCAATGAGGTCCAGATGATTCCATTCTACACTTTACATGATGTAATGCACTAATGCCTCTTTAATTGGGCATCTGTTTGCATGGCTTACATTTGAGAAGGGAAATATGCATTCCTGAGAACTGTTGGAGTTCCTAGCCTGAGTAGCTAATCCGTGTGCTGTCTTTAATTGTGTCTACTATTTTCTGCACATGTTGGAAGGGCGGGCTTAGCGCAAGCGGTAGAGTCTTACCGCCTGTGATCGGAAGGTCCCGGGTTCAAGTCGTGGTCTCTTCGCATTGCACAGACGAGGGTAAGGCTTGCCACTAACACCCTTCCTCATACCCCACACAGAGCGGGAGCTCTCTGCACTGGGTACGCCCTTTATTTTCTGCACATGTTGGATTCCTTCATTGAGCTGTGTGAACTCATTTAGTAAAGCCTTTGAGCTAGGATTGTTGGTGGCATTTTGTCGGGGACCAATACTAGGGTACCCGAAGAGGAGTTAATGACCATCAACATTGATTCATCCGAGCAGTTAAGAGCGCAACTACAGCTCTAACCGACCCCAAGGCCGTGGACTCCGCCTCGCCCGACCCTTGGGGAGGGCTCCGCCTCGCCTGACACCGAGGCCGCGGGCTCCGTCTCGTCCTACCTCTGGGGGAGGGCTCCGCCTCACCCGACCCCGAGGCCGCGGGCTCCGTCTCGCCCGACCTCTGGGGGAGGGCTCTGCCTCGCCCGACCCCAAGGCCGCGGGCTCTGCCTAGCCTGACCCTGAGGTCGCGATTTCCGCCTCGCCCGACCTCTGGGGGCAGGCTTCGCCTCGCCCGACCCCGAGGTAACGGGCTCGCCTCAACCGACCTCTGGGGCATGCTTCGCCTTGTCGGACCCTAAGGTCACGTGCTCCGCCTCATCGGACCTCTGGGGACAGGCTCCGCCTCGCCCGACCCCGAGGCTGCGATCTCCGCCTCGCCCAACCCCTCGGGTGTGGGCTCCGTCTCGCCCGATGGGGTCCCATACCGTCGTCAACCATTTCAGGTCCAAGCATATGGGCCTAGGTCAAAACTCTGATGCCAAGGAAGAGATCGGCATGTCCTAATGTAACCCGTGGCCATGACGGGCCATGCCTAGGGATTCACATCAGGAACAGTGTCGGGCGTACCGGTGCTGTTTCGTCTAACCCTCGTACGAACACTGACAGGCACGTCGGTTCACCACGACGTCCACTAGGACGGAGTGGAGCGCCGTGACCGGCAGACGACGCCTACGCATGGCGCCAGTGACGGACAAGACCGCGACGTGGCGCCGTCCCTGTTGACATCTACAGTGTTGGCGCGACCCGCATGAAGCAAAAGGACCCGGCGACCCTGAGGGTCTTCGGCTGCTCTCTCTCTCTCGTTCTTCTCTTTCCCTCCGCTGTAACCTATGCTTTCCCTTGGCCTATAAAAGTGAAAGGAGGGCGCCCCATGAAGGGCATCGCATCGATCCAGACCAGACCTGATCGAACCATCACGAACCTCGAACCGATCAGAGCACAACACAAGCACACGGCCGAGCAGCAACCGAGCTCTCGGCATCCGTTCATTCTTTCCACCAGAGACTTGGGACATGTCCCTCTCTCGCCCGTTTGTAACCCCTACTGTAAATTTTCCGTGCTACTAACACGAGCAGCAGCGACAAACTAGACGTAGGGACGTTCTGCCCGAACCAGTATAAACCTCGTGTCCTCTAAGCACACCATCCGAGCCGGACACGCAATACTAGAAATTTACTCGTTGGTGGTAACTCAAAACACCGACAGTTGGCGCTCCAGGTAGGGGCCTTTTACACGTCTCGACATCCACACTAGGCCTCGGATGGCTAGTCACCACGTCAGCTGGGTCCCAGGCGCGCACGTGCGCCTCGGGGACCTCGACTTTATCGTCACGACGGAGGGAGAGCTGGTGCGGGCTCCTATCATCGTCCAACCTCTCCACTCCGCCGGCCTCGACGCGATCGCCGAGGTGCTTGAGGAGCTGCAGCTGCACGCACCAGAGGCCCGCGCCCTCGAGAGTGACCAGCTCCTCAGCTTCGACTACGGGAGGTTAGAGCGCCAGCTCGGTGCCTTCCTAGGACCCCGACCATCCCGGGAGGACCTGCGCCACCTCACCTTCTCGTTCGCCAACGTCATGGCGCAGCTTGCCGGAGAAGAGTTGCTCTCTCCAGAACACCTCATCCAGAGCGCCCCGATAGCGCTCCCGTTCGGTCTCCGCGACGTCGTAGAGACCGTTGGCCACCTTGTGGCGCAACGCACTCCACCCTCACGAATGACGAGTCCGTGGGGATGACCAAATATGTCGCGGGATCTTTCTACGACCTCCTCGCAGGAGAAATGGAGTCGCCCTCCACCTCTGACTCCAGCAGGGGGAGCCATCACCCCTCTCGTGAATGTTTATGACAGGTACGCCCGAGGGACATGTCGAAAGCATCCATGAGGAAGAGGCTACCCCAATGAACGACCTCAATGACATAGGGGCCCCACCTCACCTTCGGATAGAGCAGCTGAAGGCCCGGCACCAAGAGCTCGAGGAAGCGAGACTCCAGCTCGAGCAGGAACGCGCGGAGCTCGATCAAGAGATCGAGCGCCACGGAGACGATGGTCGTGCACGCGCCATGGCCTGCGACGTGAACGAAAGGATCATCGAGGATGATGAATCCCTCCCACACTTCACCTGGGCGAGCCAGAACATCGCCGCTGTGGCGGCCTTGCTCCGGGGGCTTTTGGGGCTTGCGATGCCCGAGGATCATCGGGCCCATCGTGAGATTCGCACGCTACTCGAGCGTACGGCGGCGCAGCAGGCCGAGAGCTCTCTCACTCGATGACACGAGCTCGACGCCATTCAGCGCACGCCCTCTGAGCGACCCAACAAGGATGCGTCAGTCCACCAGGCGCCGCAAGGCGACAGGCCGCTCAACGCGGTCTAGGTGCATGAGTGTCTCGGCCACCACCGTGATGCGCGCGACAACCTTGATTCCTGTAGGCGTGCCCATGGCGATGCGAGGGAGGGGGCTAGCCACGGCTACCACCCTCGTCGTGGCAGACGCTACGACAACGACGAGGACCGAAGCCTAAGCCCCAACTTGCTGGGACCTCAGGCCTACGGCCGACACATCCTTAACGTCGCCTTCCCGCCACGGTACCGACCACCAACCAACATCCCAAAAATACTCCAAGGAAACGAACCCCGGACTGTGGCTCGAGGATTATCGGCTTGCTTGCTAGGCCGGTGGAGTGGATAATGATGATTTCATTATCCGCAACCTTCCATTGTTCCTGGCCGATTCAGCACGAACATAGTTGGAACACCTTCCGCCCAATAGAATCCAAAGTTGGGTGGACCTAAAAGAGATCTTCGTGGGAAACTTTTAGGGCACATACAAGTGTCCTGGGAACCCATGGGATCTCAAAAACTGCCAACA